GTTATGAGGCATAGTTTAGTTATTTCTATTAAAACTGCCATATCAACTCATTTTAAGACGTCCAAGGGCACAGATTTATCTGAACATATCCATCCTAAATATTGAACTGCTCATTTTTATGTATATTAAAAAAGCATAAGGAGGTAGTGTTAAACAAAGATCGAATAATCATTTGTCCTTCGGAATGCTTGATTTTAAACCGATTTGTCTATTCTTAAACGAAAGGAGCTCGATAGATCCCGCGTATTAAAGGAGTATACAAAAAAGAAACATTTAATTCTGGCTTATAATTTTAACGACCATGCGGTGTGTTTATCGTGAAACGAAGTTTATAAACTGTTATTTAATTATATTTACTTTTGTGTGAATTTGCTTGGATACCAAATAAGTGCATTTAAAGTAAATAATTTTGAACGAATCACGGCGATTTTTGTGTTTTGAAGAGCAATTGAAATTTTTAAAATCCTCGTAAAAAACGTACCAGTTGTCTGTATACAGACCTTACCGTCGTATATTGAATCATTTTGGGCAGACAAGAATCACGATATGTTTACCAACACCGTATTGGCCACCGATCGGTCAGAAACATCCAATGCTAAAGTTCCCTGCGATACCATGAATTCAAACGGATCTTATGCGGAAATGATTGCTACCAAACCGGATTATATCGCCAACACTGTCACGATTATGAAATCAAAGCCATCGGCTACCGGACTGATAAAAAACAAACGAAACAGTACTACCGATTGTGACTTAACGCTTAGAAAATTCAAACGGATTTTATAGGACACCCCATATTTTTGCATGTCCAAAAAACTAAAGCTTACTACGACTATCGACAACTATGCGACAAAAAAAATTATGCAAACGACTGACGACAACATCGATAAGCCCCACGGATTAGTCTTGAAAGTCTGGAGGCTCGACGAGATACCATCGATTTCCTTTGTCAAGAAAACACCACCTCGAGTAGACAATCCGAGTACAATGATTGAAATAATCGACACAGACTCGGCCGAGAGCGAAAACGATAGTTCCTACTTAGACGGTAAATGATTATTCCATAAACTAGACTTAAATAAACAGCATTATTAAATAATATTTGAAAAAAGATAAATAATATTTTTTTAATTATAAAACCGAAAAACTAAGCGGTCGGATTAAAAATTAATAATTTTGCTTGCAGACGTGCCGCAAGATTTGAACGAGAAAAAGAAGAAACCGCCTTCATACGATTCGTTTCTCAGTCGCAAGTCGTAGTACAGCGGCGACACGATCAACGCGTATTTAAGTCTAATTGCATCGCATTCGCTAGGCAAAGTGCACTACCTGATCACCGATTTTATGGAGGTGCTTTCTCGACGGGGATACGCCGGTGTGAAAAAGTGGATCAAAGTCGATATACACTCTTTAAGACTCTTGTTGGTGCCGATGCACGTGAACGGCAACCATTGGACCATGTCTGTGGTCGATGTATCCAAAAGGACCATAACGTTTTTTGACAGCCACAACTCCTACAATGGCCCCTACCCATCGTTATTGAGACAATTTCTTATTGACTGGGAGATCGAAAACTACGGATATTTTTCCCAATGGATATTACGGTACGGAAAAGCGGTGCAACAACGCAACGTTTATGATTGCGGACCGTTCTCTTTGGAACTGGCCGAGAAGATGTCCAGAAACGACGACACGCCGATCAACCCCTTCACAATGCCTTTTATCCGGTTGAGGCACAAGTATGAACTAAAAGCCGGCACGTTGTTCCAATTTTGACGTATATTTTTGATTATCAAGATTCAATTTTACCGATCACGACCTTATTTGACCTTCGTTAAACGACCTACTCGTCAATACTCATTAAAACATGTAATATTTACCTTATAACTCTATTTTTCTGCTCCTGTCGCGGTACTTACAATTAGAACTATCATGTTTAATTGAAGTACACGCTGAAATATTGTACATTTTTTATTATGATTAATTTTAATCATAATACAAAATTATTTATTTTAATAAAGTAATATTGTTAGTTATGTAACAACATAAATTGTCTTAAAAATAATTGAGGCGTCATAATTGACACCTATGATTAATTTTAATCATAATACAAAATGCAAAAATTTAATATATAATTTATCTCATGTATCTATTACAATTACAATAAATGTAGATACTAAAATGTATGATTATCTTTAAAAATAATAACATATGCTATTATTAAAATTAACTAAAATAACTATTTATTATTTTACTCCTAAATTTAGATTAAATTTACTTACATTTTATTGATATTCAGTTAAATATATATGTGAGAGTGAACAGGGAAAAAGAGCAGTCTTGACAAGTTATCAAGTCGATGTGAAAATGGCGATTGTCTCGAAAAAATAATTTGTAAAAAGAGTAAAACAAACGTTGATGATTTGCAAAAATGTCACAGTAAAAATTAAATAACAAATAAAAATCACGCGAAAATAACTGTTGGTCAACGGCATTGACACGTCTGGTTTTTCCGCCAAAAGTTCGTATGTTAAATTCGCGCTATAGCCTCAATGAAAATATTTTATGACTATTATTTTAAAGTTTTTTTATTAATTTACTAATCGAGAGATAATATGTCTAATAACAGTATTTTGTACGAGGCAGTTAGACTGTAGGTCGGCTAGTTGTACACCGTACTAGAATGCCGTTTTATCTTAAGCATGTTTAGAAAACGTTATTATTGATGCGGGAGTGGGTCACCTAGGGGATGGCGGCTAACGGTATATCCAATAAGTAACGAGAGTAGACAATATTTAAATCACAAATGAATATATATTTTAGAAATTCCTCAGAGAGTATCTTAAATTTAAGGGGTAAATACTAGTGGCCGGCGAAGTGGCATAAAACAAAATAGTTAATCTAAATTAGAACAAACAATAAATAACATTAAAAATAATATAAACTCAGCTGGATAGATGAAGTTGTTGATAATGATGAGTGGACTGCATGAGATCTTGTGGTAATGGTGTTGAACATCTGAGAATGACGAGTCAGAGTGTAGATCCAGGTACGTAATGGCAGATGAGAACAGATAGCAAAAAAAGCGACTACAACAATGAATATATTTGGTGATGGTCAGGGCCCAATCACTAGTGGCGTGCAAGGGCACATAAACTTTAAACACAAGGGTTCAATAAACAAATAAAACAATAACGGCGTACGATGACCGAACAATTTACCATTCAAGCGAAGGCGCTTGTTACAGAAAAGATTATGATACATAAAACAATTGACTGACTGACTTACGACAATGAACTGTACACGGATGAAAACCGACTCGGAGGTCATTGATTTGCCGTGATAAGTGTGCAAGGGGGTGAATAAAGCAAGACGCTGATGATCAGCTGTCCCACGAAATAATATAATCAATGATCTTTGTAACAACTGGTCAACTAGATCCTTTTAAAGGCGTTCTGTACCATACAAACAGTAAAAGTGAATAAAACTATTTGAACGGCTATAACCGTTATAACGATTCTATCATTATAATGAAAGAACTATGGTGAATCCGTACGATTATTTTGAACATTGAACGGTCTCAGCACTTATTAAAAATTATTCGGTTATTTATTGAACGTTGAACTTTCATAGAACTTATAAAAAATTACACGGTTCATTATTGAAAATTGAACTCTCCCAGCATTCGTAGGTTGCTTGAACCGATCGTGAACCAAAATAATGTTACTCGGAAAATTAATGATGGTCACACCCTTGTACGCTCTTTGTATATCGCCGTTGGGTCTATAGGCCAGTCAACGAAAGAGTAATCAAATTAACTTTCAGCCACGTTAGAATTCTTTAGTCGCATAACACACCAGACGTTTCTCTCTATTTCAACCACCCACACTTA